AGGGCAGCTAGGGATGAACAATGACTTCTGGTCCAGCCAGCAACACCCACATCCCATGAATGTACTGGTGATGTTTTTGGCAGAGATAATAGTGCTTGGTGTTTCCCAGCCAGTGACTAAACATGAAGTGCACTCAAAATGGCGTCCTTGAGACTTGAAGGAAGAAAAGGTGGAGGTTATTAGCAGAATGAGAGGCCAAGATGCAAGAGCGTTAACTGTGTCAATATTTTAGCGTTGCCCAACTTCCAAGCAGGTTCATGATCAATAGAGAGAGTCCTGCCTAAATATCCATCTCCCTACAAGGAGCCACAGAGACCAATCTGCGCTCAGCTTGGTGCATCTGTGCAGCTCAGGTAACACGAGCAGCATATTTCCCAGTTAAGCCGTTGTGAAGATAATAGAACATAAGCGACAGCACATAAATATTAAAGACACATAATCCTATCGGCACAATGATATTCATAATTAATACATAGGAGACGCTTGCTTCATTCGAACTTTAAACCACCCAGTTGTCAAGTTCCATTAAATCCCATTGTGATATAACAAAGGCAAAGGCAATCTCACATCTCTATTGTAAAGCTACTGGAGCTTTGAAATGTGTACCTTCCCTTTCTCTGATGAGGGGAGACAGCTCACGTCAGGTGCTAGAATAAATTATGTTGACTTTACAGCAGAAGAAACTTTCTGCGCAGCTGAATAGTGCCACTACTTATGCCCCATATCAGCCTCCTCCATTTTGAGACTTTAAAATTGTAGGCAAGGTTAGGAATTGCAAGGGCACAAAGACCCAGGAATGTGCACAACTGTTCACATCTGTCTCATTTGCTGGTAATGATGGAATGAGCAGTAGTGATGGAAGTTCAAGGGAGTATGCATGTAAGTTGCTGTTGCCAATGTTCACATTTGTAAATGAGCATTCTTACAATCACAATGGCATGGTGCTGGGAATGAGTGTCATTGTTAATTAGTGAAAGAGCTGTAACGCTCATAATACAGGCTGCAGCCTCAATTTTACCAATGTTAGCACCTTATAGGAGAGGAAGTTCAGGGAACAGGGTAAACGCTCCTCCCTAATATCAGGATATAAAATTCAGAGCAGGAGTAGGCTGCTCCGTCATTTGATGAGACCATGCTGATCTGATTACGGCCTCAACTCTACTTTCCTGTTTGCTCCCCCTGCAAATCCTTGACTGACCTGTTGATCAAAAATCTATCAAACTCAGTCCTAATGTATTCAATGACAGATTCTTCACTGCTCCTTGGGGTAAGAGAATTTCAAAGACTAACTAGTAGGTAATTAGGATTGCTAATGGAATGTTATCAGTTATTGTGAGAGGAATTGAATACAAATGTAAAAAGATTGTGCTTCAGTTATATTGGGCACTGCTTAGACTGCATCTGGAGTACTGTGTACTGTATTAGTCACCTTATTTAAGGAAGA